TCTGGTGGCATAATACCTAAGCCATTTGACTGCTAACCAGAAGGCTGGTGGTTCAAACCCACCAGCCACTCCTCAGAAGAAAGGTTGGACAATCTACTTCCGTAGTGATATGGCCTCGGAAACCCAAGGAGAGGTCGCTTTGAGTTGGATCCTACTCCACAGCAGTGTGTTTGGTTCGGTATAATATGTGAAAGAAATCTTTGAAAAATCTGTTTTCTCTTTCTTAAAAAACAAAAGACATCACTGATGAGGAATTTGTAAACAGCCAAACATAAGAATCCCTAACACTTAACAGTACTTGGGAGGTTTACAAATAAAGTTGGGCAAGGGTTAAGGAAGTCTGGGGGTGGCAGGGTAAGGATGGAGGCTATTTTGTGGATAATGCATGTTTTTATTCAGAGAAACAACAGCTGTTACACAAGAGTGGGAGGCATTAGGAGCAGAGAAACTAATTCTATCTGGTATTACAAACATCAGTTGTCAACAACAAAATTATTTGGAAGTCACTTCTCTAAGCTGAGCTAGCATGGCTGGCCTGTGTCAGGTTAATGTGTTTTTAACTAATAAGAGCAATCATTTCTGAAACTAAGAAAAGTTCCCAACCTCATTGCATGATAAAGTGGAAGGCAGAACACACTCATGTTTTCAGTGGACAATCTATACGTGTTCTATTACCTGGTACCATATAATGCTGTCACTCCTGAGACACCACCCAGCAGATGGCTACAAGCACTGCTTTGCCATAAGAATTTCCTGGGGCTGAATTCTGGTTTTGTCAGTCTCACAGTGAGTCTACAGTTCTAATGTTGACTTTAAGTAAAACAATGCTTGCAAAGTGCCTTGTGGGCACTCGATAAATGGTAAGGTTATTAGAACTGTTTCCATTTTTTATATAATAAACATTCAGGGAAGGGCCTGAATCATGGCAAGGAGTCACATTAGGAATGGCTAGCCTATATTTCTGTTTTATACCAATGTTAGGTAGTGGGAAAAATGACTGATGACTCTACAAGACCTATAATCCCCAGGTTTCCTCAGAAACCACTGGGTAAGGCACCACAGACAACAATGCAGATGCCTGGCTTCCTGAACTCCTGATCCAAAAACCCCAAACCCATTGCCTTCAAGTTGATTCTGACTCACAGTAACCCTAGATGACAGAGTAGAACTGCCCCATAGGTTTTCCAAGGCTATAAATCTTTACAGAAGCAGATTGCCACATCTTTCTCCCATGGAGTAGCTGGTAGATTTGAACCAAAAACCTTTTAGTTCATAGACAAGCACTTAACCACTGCACCACCAGGGATCCTTCCACAAGCAAGCCCTAATTTGTTGTTTTTATTGGACGCTGTTGAATCAATTCGACTCATAGTGACTCCATGTGGCAGAGTTGAGCTGCACCATAGCTATAATCTTTACAAAAGCAGATAACCAGGTCTTCCCATGGAGCTGCTGGGTGGATTTGAACCCTCAATCATTTAGTTAGCAGCTGAGCACTTAACCATGTGGAGAGAATATTTATTTAATTCTTGTAGAATGCAAACCTTCTAAAGACATGGAAGTTGAAATGACCCACCCCAACTATCTATCACCCTAAGAAAATCTTTGAACCTTAAACTTACAGTTGGAACTTGTTTCCTGAAAATTATCTTTAAGTCAAACAATAAAAAAGAAATAGTTCAGTTTAACTAATAAAGAATATTCGCCTTGGGCACTGTGCTCTTTTAAAGAATTATCTATGTGCAGTCATTTTCAACAACAGACTAGAAGCTATGTGTTAAGATCAATCAGTAATTATTTGAATTCTTCAAGAAAATGTATGGAATTCCACATGTCCACAAGTTATTATGTAAACACTACTTTGGCCCTGTTTCCATGGCAATTCTCACCATCATTGTATGCTTGAGCCCATCGTTGCAACCACTGTGTCTATCTATCTCATTGAAGGTTTCTTTTCTTTTTTGCTGACCTTCTACTTTACTAAGAATGATGTCCTTCTCCAGTGATTAGTCCCTGCTGATAGTGTGTCCAAAGTAAGTGAGACAAAGTCTTGCATTCCTCCTTCTAAGAAGCATTCTGGCTGTACTTCCACAAAGACTGATTTGTTTGTTCTGGCAATCCACAGTACATTCAATACCCTTCTCCAACACCACAATTCAAATTGCATCAATTCTTATTCAGTCTTCTTTTTTTCACTGTTCAGTTTTTGCTTGCATTTGAGATGACTGAAAAGACCATGGCTTAGGTCAGGCATATTTAAGTAATCAAACTGACATCTTTGCTTTTTAACACTGTAAAGAGGTCTTTTGGCAGCAGATTTGTCCAATACAATACATGGTTTGATTTCCTGACTGCTGCTTCCATGTTGTTGTTGTAGTTATTTGCCGTCGAGTCGGCCCCGACTCATAGCGACCCCTCCTTGGGTTTCCGAGGCAGTATCACTACGGAAGTAGGATTGCCCAACCTTCCTTCTGAGGAGTGGCTGGTGGGTTTGAACCGCCGGCCTTCTGGTTAGCAGTCAAGTGCCTTAGGCACTATGCTACCAGAGCTGCTTCTGTAGGCATTGATTATTAATCCAAGTTGTTGTTGTTGTTGTTGTTATGTGCCGTCGAGTCAGCCCTGACTCATAGCGACCCCTCCTTGGGTTTCCGAGGCAGTATCACTACGGAAGTAGGATTGCCCAACCTTCCTTCCGAGGAGTGGCTGGTGGGTTTGAACCGCCAGCCTTCTGGTTAGCAGTCAAGTGCCTTAGCCACTATGCTACCAGAGCTCCCATTAATCCAAGTAGAATAAAATAATTGGCAACTTCAATTTCTTCACCATTTATCATGATGCTATTTATTGGCCCAGTTGTGAAGATTTTTGTTTTCTTTACATTCAGGTGTTATTCATACTGAAAGATGTATGTCATACTGAACTAGTCTCATGACATTCCCCCTTAGAAACATTCTTTTTTTCTGGTCGGGTCCTAGGCCATGCAGAGGAAGGACACAGCATCCTGAGACAGATCACCATGAAATAGCCCATACATGGTGAGCTTTGAGCAGGGTAGAGAGGTGAAGGGACTCTAAGTAAAGTGGAGAAATGCACTCAGTGCCCATCCTCAGAGTGTCCTGCAGAGGCTTTCCCAGAAGGCTCACATTTTCATCCATGGAGAACAATGGATACCATAAGCTCTTTCATCAAGAGTAAAAAAATAATAAGGTAAATCCACAATGTATCAAACTACTTCAACTTAGAAGTTTACCTGAATGCTGCAATTCTGGAAGGGAGAGTATCCATCAAAACCCAGGACCCAGGAGATCAGGATACTGTGTGCAGTGCTGTTGTGGACATGGACTGCAGTCGGTGGGGAGGGGATTACTAAGTAAAAAACACACACACACACAAGCACAATTATAAACCACAGGACACCACAACACTAAATGAGTGCATTAATATCAAATCTGTTTCCAGGTATTTAAGAAGAAACTAGAAACTAGACAACCAAAAAACAAAACAAACTAGTTGCCACTGAATTGCTTCTGATTCACAGTGACCCCATGTGTGTCAGGCAGAATTGTACTCCACAGAGCTTTCAGTAGCACATTGCTTAGTTTAGGTCACCAGTTCCTCTTTCTGAGGTGCCTCTAGTAGATTTGAACCAATGTGGGTCTTTTCCACTCAACTAGTGTGTTCCATGAGGGTGGAGCTATGACCCTTAACACCTTGAAAAGTGCCTGCATTCAGCAGGGTTGGTAAACATGAGCTCATTAAAGGAAACAAATGTTTCCACATATTTTTGCAGCTAAAAGTTCTCCTAACTTAGTCAGTAGCAGGAAAGCAGGTCTTCATTCCACTTTCCTGGCCCAAGCGGGATCATTCTATCACTAGAAGGCTTATTTATGTATTAACAGAATTACTCCTCCAGCATAGGGTAACTCCTTTTTAAAAACATATTTGGAGTCCCTGGGTGTCACAAGCATGCTTGTTTCTGACCAAAATGTTGGTGGTATTTAACTGTATGAATTATAACAAACTATGGATAACATTGTGAAAAATGAGAATTCCAGAACATTTAATTGTGCTCATGTGGAATCTGTTTATAGACCAAAAGGCAGTTATTTGAACAGAACAAGGGAATACTGCATGGTTTAAAATCAGGAGAGCTGTGCATCAGGGTTACATACTTTTACCACACTTATTCAATCTGCATGCTGAGCAAATAATCTGAGAAGCTAGACTACATGAAGAAAAACATGGCATCAAAATTGGAGGAAGACTCATTAACAACCTGTGATATGCAGATAACACAACCTTGTTTGCTGAAAGTGAAGATGACTTGAAGCACTTACTGATGAAGATGAAAGACTATAACTTTCAGTATGGATTACTCAGCATAGAGAAAATAAAACTCTTCACAACTGGACCAATAAGTAACATCACTATAAATGGAGAAAAGATTGAAGTTGTCAAGGATTTCATTTTACTTGGATCTATAATCAACACCCACTGCATTGAGCAAATCTGCTGCAAAGACTTCTTTAAAGTGTTAAAAGCAAAGATGTCACCTGGAGGTTTATGGTGCACCTGACCCAAGCCATAGTATTTTCAACTGCTTTATATGCATGCAAAAGTTGGACAATGAATAAGGAAGACCGAAGAAAAATTGATGCATTTGAAGTATGGCATTTGTGAAGAATATTGACTGAACAAATCTGTCTTGGAAGAAGTACAGGCAGAATGCTCCTCAGAAGCAAGGACAGTGAGACTTTGTCTCATGAACTCTGGACAGATTATCAGAAGGGGTCAGTTTCTGGAGAAGGATATCATGCTTGGTAAAGAAGAAGGTTAGTGAAAAAGAAGACCCTTACAAGATGGACTGACACAATGGCTACAACAATGTACTCAAACATAGCAACAATTTTGGGGATGGTGTAGGATCAGGCAGTGTTTCATTCTGTTGTATATGATGTTACTGTAAGTCAGAACTAACTAACCCAATGGCACCTAAAAAACAATAAAAAGCTTTTGTGTGCTTACCATGTGCCAGATACTTTATGCACTCACACCCTTCAGATACTTCATACCCTATCAGAGAATATTCTTACAATCCCCGTATACAGAAAAGGAAACTGAGGACCACAGACATTACAAATGTGCCAAAGGTCGCAGCGCTAATAAGCGGTAGAATCAAAACTTAAACTCAGGTCTGCTTAACCTCGGAGCTGTGTCCTTGAACAGGATACTGGAGGGCTGGTTGGTTGCTAGGGACAGCAAGCGATTGACCTGAGAATGAGAGGATGCTGGGGAGACTGACCTATCACCTACCAGTTGTATGGCCCTGAACACAGTTAAAAGTCTCTCTAAGGCTCAGTTCCCTCCTCTATAAAGGGAGATAGTAATAGCACTGCACTATGGGACCATGGTCAGGATTAAATAAGACATGTAAAGGCCAGTGGCTGGTGTGGTGATAGTGGAGGTGATGATGGGATGATAAGAGAGGAGGTGGGCTGGGACCACATTAAGTTTAGGAGTCTGAGTTTTGCTAGCAGACATGTAACTTGCTGAGTGGGAAAGAATCAGCATTTTGTTTTAATCACTTCCCTAAACTAGTAGATAGTTTAGTAGAACTGTCTTAAAATGTCTGCCTTTCCCAATTATAATTTAACCACATATGCCATAGTAATAACAGACTATAAAAAGAGAGTTTGGGTTGCTTTGCCATAAATCTAAAAATAAACAAAAGCCAAATAACATGAATTTTGGAAGTAGTATTTACCAAAATAGCTAGGATTCTGTGTGAAGCAGAAAATTAAAGAAATGCTTTTCATTTTATGGATTTCCAAATTTTAATATGGCTTATACTTTATAAAAATGTCTTTATAAATTTACTCCCACACATGAATTCCTGAAATTCCCAAGATTTCCTTTGAAAACTATAATAATGGGATTCGTAATGAAGGAAGGAAGTTATACAGTTCCTCCAGTACTGTTAGTTTGCTCATGTTTTTATTTCAGTGAACTTTTAGGAAATGCCCTTTAGTAGCCTTCATTCAGTTGATTTGCTAAAACTATACATCAGCACCTTTTTTGAGTATAACTTCTTCATAATTTTGAGTCTCCTTCTGTTGCCCAATATTTAACTCATTATTCAACACTTTCTATTTTTTCCTTGCACTGTTTCCCCACAGGTAAGACTAAATAGAACATTAACCCAGTATTTATTTCTCAATGTCTAAATTAAGAATAAATACTAAAATATAAAATTTCTTTGAATTTCTATGAGAGAGTAAGGAAGATGTCTTTAAAAGGCATATTAAGATAGGACTTACTTTTAGGTTAGCTTTCCTTACAAGTTTCAGGTGTGAATATCTTTGATGACATAAGAGAGCAGGTAGATAGATGGACTGGACTAGAATGTCTTCACTAGTCTAGGGGACCTTCAAACAAATGCCTTTGATTCTTAGTTACAATTCACTAGGAAACGAACTCAGCTGGAGTGAAATCTCGGCTAAGAGAAGAAAGAGGCAGAGTGGGAGAAAGAGGGACAGGAGCATTGGGCCCAGGAAGAAAAGTGAATTGACTTGCTTTCCTCAGCTCCCTCTCTCAGAGGAAGCAGTTGGCAGAGACTTAGCTCAGCGCTGGCTGCTTTGGAAGGGATAGAGCCCTTTCCCTATTTCAACACCCGGCAAACCATCCCTAATCTCAGAGGCTCTTCAAGGGATAATGCAGACTAGCTCAGGGTGAAGAGGAAAAAGTAAAAACAGGAGTTAAGATGATCAAGAGTAAATATTTTAGCTGGTTTTCTTCTTTAGACCATTGTTGTTATGTGCCGTCAAATTGGACCTAACTCATAGCAACCTCTTTTTTTGGTTTCCAAGGCGGTATCACTACGGATGTACACTGCCCAACCTTCCTTCCAAGGAGTGGCTGGTGGATTTGAACGGCCAGACTTCTAGTTAGCAGTCAAGTGCCTTAGGCACTATGCTACCAGAGCTCCTCTTCTTAGACTAAGCAAAACTAAACTAGCTAATATTTATTGAAGGCTTATGTGCCAGACACCTCAACGAGTGTTTTTACTTTTATTATCTCACTGAACCCTCAACAATAGGTATGTTGGATAATTATTACCATTTTAAAGACAGGGGCACTGAAGCCAGAGAGATTAAGTGATTTGTCCAAGGTCACACAGGCAGTCAGTGGTAAAGCCCAGACTCAAACCCAAGCAGCTGACTATGGAGCTCACGCTCAGCTGAGTGACCCGCACCAGTTCCCTGAATTCTCCCCACCCCCTCCGGGTGACCCAGGCCTTGCTACCTACCTTTGATGTTGATCTGCACACCCTTGGACACGGTTAGCCCTTTATCATTATGAGCCTCACAGCTGAAGATTGTTGTCTCGGTCAGACCTAGAGAGGAAGGAGATCCGTGAGACGATTCCCAGAGAAACAGGTTGCTGTTTACTAGAATCCTATGCTTTTCTTCAGCATTTTTTATTTCTTGGTTCATTGCCTCAAGCCATAAATGAAAAGTTAATGTACGTGTGTTAACAACACATGATCAAGCCTGGGGTTACTCCTGGGTCCCAGGAGCAAAGCAACTGTGGCTATTCAAAAGGCAGCTATTTATCATTCAGATCCTTTCTTTTTCCCTGCCACCCAGACTTCAGGTAACAAAGCAGTCTCACTGGAATTTTTTTAAGGAGGTAGGAAATTGCTGACCCTAATAACAAGAAAAGTGCTTTCTGAGGATCACACAGACAATATTCTGTTTTTTAGCCCCTAGTCCATACTATGCCACTATGCTATGGACATAAATCTCAGAAAACCAGAAATATCAGGATAGAAGTCCTGTTATTTTAAAAATTTCAGATGATCTGTTATTGTAATGGGCCCTTTTTTAATAGTAAAAAGTGTCCAATTTATAAGGAATTAGTATATAAACATAAGGCATTATTACTACTCAAAGAAAATCCACTGATGCTAAATGAAGGTAAGTTCCTATCATTTCAGAGGTTTGAAGATGTCTTAGAAATATATATATATATACATTTAATTCATGAATTTAAATAGGAAGACAGATAAACTGGAGGATCAGAGGCCAAGAGGAAGCAGGCTGGTGATGACTTTCCTTATTGCCCAACAATCCACTGATGCTAAATGAAGGTAAGTTCCTATCATTTCAGAGGTTTGAAGATGTCTTAGAAATATATATATATATATATATTTAATTCATGAATTTAAATAGGAAGACAGATAAACTGGAGGATCAGAGGCCAAGAGGAAGCAGGCTGGTGATGACTTTCCTTATTGCCCAACATTCCTCTCTGGGGCTGGGTCATGTGTGGGAGGGATGAGCATGCTGTCTTAAGAGGGGTACAAACAACAGAAACCATGGGATTAAAAAGCGTCGAGACTACAGAAATGTAGTCAAGCGATTTTGGGCAAAGCACAAAGGCAAATCAATGGAAAAAGCATAGTCTTTTCAACAAACAGTGTTGGAACAACTGGAAATCCATATGCAAAAAAGTAAACAAACACTTTTCACAAAAATTAGCTCAAAATGGATCACAGACTTAAATGTTTTCTAGAAGAAAGCAAAGGAGAAATTCTATTTAACTTTGGGTTTGATGATGAATCTTTAGATACACTACTAAAAGCATGCATCAAATCTATTCTTTAGATGGTCTCTAAATTCAGGAAGGATATATTCAAGGTCATATTTTGGCTCTTGTGGACTTGTTTTAATTGTCTTCAACTTCAACTTGAACTTGCATATGAAGTTGATGGTCTGTTCCACAATCAGCTCCTGGCCTTGTTTTGGCTGAAGATAATGAACTTTTACATCACCTCTTGCCACAGATGTAGTCATTCTGATGCATTGAACACCAATGACAGAAAACCAGAAGAATTGTGGGATGACATCAAGAGCATCATCCATGAAGCAAGAGGTCAATAAAAATACGAGAAAGAAAGAAAAGACCAAAATGGATGTCAGAAGAGACTCTGAAACTTGCCCTTGAGCGAAGAGTAGTTAAAGCAAATGGAAGAAATGACAAGATAAAAGAGCTGAACAGAAGATTTCAAAGAGCAGCTCAAGCAGACACAGCCAATTACTATAATGAAATGTGCAAAGACCTGGAATTAGAAAACCAAAAGGGAAGAATGTGCTCAGCATTTCTCAAGCTGAGAACTGAGGAAAAAATTTAAGCCTAGAGTTGCAATACTGAAAGATTTTATGGGCAAAATATTGAATGATGTAGGAAGTATCAAAAGAAGATGGAAGGAATACAGAGTCACCATACCAAAAACAACTGGTTGATCTTCATCCATTTCAGGAGGTGGCATATGTTCAAGAATCAATGGTACTGAAGGAAGAAGTCGAAGCGGCATGGAAAGAATTAGCAAAGAACAAGGCTCCAGTAATTGATGGAATGCCCACTGAGATGTTTCAACAAACAGATGCTGTGCTGGAGGCACTCACTTGGTTATGCCAAGAGATTTGGAAGACAGCTACCTGGCCACCTGACTGGAAGAGATTCATACTTGTACCCATTCCAAAGAAAGGTGATCCCACAGAATGTGGAAATTATCAAACAATATCATTAATATTGCATGCAAGTAAAACCTTACTGAAGATAATTCAAAAACAGTTGCAACAGTATATTGACAGAAAACTTCCAGAAATGCAAGCTGGATTCAGAAGAGGATGTGGAACAAGGGATATCATTGCTGATGTCAGATGGATCTTGGCTCAAAGCAAAGAATACCATAAAGTTATTTACTTGTGTTTTACTGATTATGCAAAAACATTTGATTGTGTGGATCATAACAAATTGTGGATAACATTGAGAAGAATGGGAATGCCAGAACACTTAATTGTACTCATGAGGAACCTGTACATAGGCCAGGAGGCTGTCGTTTGAACAGAAAAAGGGAATACTACATGGTTTAAAATCAAGAAGGGAGTGCATCAGGGTTGCATCCTTTCACCATACTTATTCAATCTGTATGCTGAGCAAATAATCTGAGAAGCTGGGCTATATGAAGAAGACCGTGGCATCAGGATTGGAGGAAGAATCACTAACAACCTGCAATACGCTGACAACACAACTTTGCTTGCTGAAAGTGAGGATGACTTGAAGTACTTACTGATGAAGATTGAAGAATACAGTCTGTAGTATGGATTACATCTCAATATAAAGAAAACAAAAATCCTCACAACTGGACCTATAAGCAACATTACAACAAATGGAGAAAAGATTGAAATTGTCAAAGACTTCACATTGCTTGGTTCTACAACTAATGCCAAAGGACCTCTTTCAAGTGCTGAAGAGCAAAGATGTCTCCTTGAGGACTAAGGTGTGCCTGACACAAGCCATGGTATTTTCAATTGCCTCATAAGCATGTGAGAGCTGGAAAATGAATAAGGAGGACCGAAGAAGAATGGATGCTTTTGAGCTGTGGTGCTGGCAAAGAACACTGAAAGTACCATGGACTGCTAAAAGAATTAACATGTCTGTCCTGGAGGAAGTGCTCCTTGGAGGTGAGAATTGCCAGACTTCGTTTCACATAATTTGGTTATGTTGTGAGAAGGGACCATTCCCTGGAGAGGGATGTCATGCTTGGTAAGGTAGAGGGTCAATGAAAGAGGGGAAGGCCCTCAACGAGATGGATTGAAATGGTGGCAGTGGTGATGGAGTCAAGTATAGCAAGAATCATGGAGCTGGCTCAGGACTGGGCAGTGTTTTGTTGTGCTGTGCATAGGGTCACTGTGAGTTGGAGACCACTTGACAGCACCTAACAACAACACAGTAACACTAAAAGCATGATTCATTTAAGAAAAAATTGACGTTAGACTTTATTAAAATTAAAAACTTCTGTATAGGTGAACATTTACATCAGGTAGATACACTCCTTAGAATGATCAATCATGGGAGAAACGAGCAGTATTTGAACAGGGAAATAGCTTGGGGGCAGCTATCTCTAATAGAAAAAAGGACACAAGGAAGAGGTAGTTACATTGTGGGGAATTACAGTCAATGCAATGAAACAAAATATGTATGAACTGCTGTATGGAAAATGGATTTGCTCTGTACACTTTCACCCAAATCACAATAAAAATTAACACCACCAACAACAAAGCTTCTGCTCTGCCAAAAATCCTGTTAAGAGAATAAAAGATAATACATAATAAATGAGAAAATATCTACAAAACATATATCTGATATAAGATTTGTATCTAAAATATACAAAGAAGTCTTAAAACTGAAAAATAAGAAAAGAAAAAAAAAATTAAAAAATGGGCGGAAGATCTGAACAGATACCTTACCAAAGACAATATACAGATGGCAAAAAGGCATATGAAAAGATGCAACATCATTTGTCATTAGGGAATTGCAAAGTCAAACAACAGTGAGATACCACTACACACCTATTAAAATGGCTAAAACCAAAAAACTGACAATACCAATTGCTTGTGAAGATATGGAGCAACACGAACTCTCATTCATTGCTGGTGGGAAAGCAAAATCACATAGTTATTTCAGATGAGAGTTTGGTTGTTTCCTACAAAAGTAAACACAGTCATACTACATGATTCAGGAATCCTGCTCCTAGATACTCACACAACTGATTGAAAACATATCCACACAAAACCTATAAATTAATATTTAAGGCAACTTCATCCATAATGACGAAAAACTGGAAGCAACTGTGATGTTCTTCAATAGGTGAATGGATAAACAATTGTGATACATCCATACAATGGAATACTTTTTTACTGATACAAAGAAACGAGCTATTTAGTCACACAAAGATATGGATAAATCTTAAATGCATGTTGCTAAGTCAAAGAATCTGAAAAGGTTACATAGTGCATGATTCCATTTATATGACATTTTAGAAAATATATCAATATTCGTTCATTAATTATAACATAGATACCATACTAATATGTCAATCATAGGGGAAATTGGGTATGGACTGTATGAGAACTCTCTGTACTGTATTTGTAACTTTTCTATCAATCTAAAACTATTCTATAATAAACGTTTACTTAAGAAGTACAGTCATAGCTACTATTAAGTTAAATCTGGAAACTTCCAGATGTCTGGCACACCATAATAATCTGGCACAAAGTAGTATCCATAAATAACTAAAGACATAATTCTCGAAAACTATTTGCTTCTTGCCTGAAAAGGTTATTTTGCTTTCTTGTATCCATATATTGTGTAGGAAATTTTCCAAATGATATTTTTAAATTCACAGCTTGTCCCTAATGGAGTAATTAAATATTTAGAAAATGAAAGGAAATAAAACTGCCATTGGAAGTCCAGCAGGTATCAGCTCAGAAAGGCTGTGCCAGGTTAGATGCCTGCATGACAAATGCTACACTGAAGCTAGGGCCT